CAAAACATGATTGCTTCTTCTCTCACGGGCAAAAGCAATTAACTATCTCCTTCGTTGTTCAGTAGATGTTAAGTTCTGAATTTAAAAATGAAGAGAACTCATAGGTTTGTAATTAAGATAAGACTTGGTATATGGCACTTATTAAAACGGGAAGGTGTGACACAAATCTACCTGATGACGTGAAGAGTGATATATGTTTCATCATCTAGGTGGTTACATGAGTGATTTGGGTGCCCCCTGCCACCTCCCAGCCAGCTGATTGTAGGAGGTTTGTTGGTGCCGGTGTTAAGGAAGATGCTTATTACTGTAGCCTGTCATCGTCTTCATTATCAAACCTATCATCTCTCTGAAATTAAACTTGTGCAGGAGGCACTTCTGTAGGCTTTCACTTTAAATTCCTCCGCAGTTAATGTAGAAAGGAAAGTTTGCTTCGTAAGTTAAGATTCTCCTTAGGAACCTAGGCTGAGATCCAAAGATGTAAGAATGCCTGTTTTATTTCTTATTGGTTGAGTTACAGCCAGTCTACACATTCCACTAAAATTACATGGTAAGGAGCTCCAGAGTCTGTACAGTTTCAGACTGCAGGTGGGGAATTGCATATTTGACTACTCCTTCTCATCAAAATGTTTATTCCCTTGGGAAAATGACATCTGTGGGAGAGGGACCGCTTTCTAAACTGGTGATTTTCTATATAAAGTGAAGTACAAGCATTTTCAGTCCATTTTAAATTTGAAAATATAGGTGTAAGGCTGTTCATTCACTTCTGAATCAGGAACAAAGTGTGACTGGGAAAAGTACACAGGGAATTACTGATAAATACAAAATAAGATCCAAACGGTGACTTTAAGTGAAAGATTCACAGCTAAGATAGGATGGAAAATATAGCAAATCGTGCCTACATTAGAGGATAGGTTTCAAGTATGTGGTGCCCTGTGATGGCAAGGCTGAACTCTACTGAGAGATAAGTGTGGCAGTTGAGTGTAAGCCTTGTGGAAAAATAGTTAAGTCTTCTGAAATATGACTGTTAATATGCTAAATTATTGGAGTATTTTGTTTGTTTGTTTGTGTGGTTGTTGTTTTTTTGGTAGAGGTGAAAGTTAATAACTGAGGTGTGTGCTGACTTCTGTGTATATTAAAGATCCATGTCTGGAAGTAAATACCTAGCTTCTTCTTAGCTATTCATGGAAATGCTAAATTGATGGGAGTCTCAATTCCAACCAGACAGACACAATTGTATTTTTTTATTAAATAGTGTTGCTTTATGAAAAACAAAAGGATATATGAAGCTATGAAAAGTATTTAATTTTGTTAAAAATTAATTTCATATTGTTGTGTAAGATTGTACTCGGAGTGTACTCAGAACTAGCAGTTTGCTTTTTTACTTCTCTGCTTCCACTTGTTCACTCAGTGTGAAAACTAAAGTGAAGCTATGAGCTGTTACACAAATGTGTCCCTATGATAGCTGCTATAGTAAGTAATCCCCACATTTCCCATTGGCTACAAATAAGCTTGCTTCTGTGCGGAACTTCTTAGAGATGCTAAATGAGTGTCTTTCTAGAGATTACTTGAACTTTAGGTCTAATAGGATGAAAGACAGCTTGGAAATAACATCGGAAAGTGGGATAATACTTTGATACTTTAATACTACCTCTGCATTTCTCTGTTTAATGAGATAAGTCACCACATTGGACTTGGGGAGAGAATGCAGCTCCATCCCTTTAGGACTTGAAAACGTGTGCCTTGAGAAAGTGGGATAATACTTTGAATGTTGCACCTACCTCTGCATTTCTCTGTTTAATGAGACAAGTCACCACATTGGACTTAGGGAGAGAATGCAGCTCCGTCCCTTTAGGACTTGAAAACGTGTGCCTTGGATCTGGGCCTCTTTTATGTGAGTAGAATAGGCTTCACAGAATAGGTTTTCCCCCATCTTCACCACATCCTTGCAGGCCGTTCTGTTCCATAGCCCTACCCCCAGATCCTCTGTTGTGGGCTGGAGGGCTCCTTTGGAACAGACTGGTACATAAGATGGCAAAGTGTAGGGGGAGAGCAGAATTGGTGAATAGCAGGTGAAGGCCTTGTTATATGTGTAGAAGTAGAAACACAACAATCAACTTGTAATTCACCTGCCATTAAAAACAAGCAGCTTGAAGGATGGCGGTCTTCTCCCTTTCAATTCTAATGGTGCCTCAAATTTGAACAAAACTATGGAAGACCATTGACCAAGGGAAGAGTCTTCCAAGCAGCTGCTCTTCCCTGCAAATAGCCATTGTTGTTGTTGTTGTTGTTGTTTGCCATCAAGCTGCTTCTGAATTATTGCAGCCCTAACAGAGTTTTCCACATAGGCAAGATGTTCAAGGAGTGCAGTAGCTTACGAAGCAAAGTTGTTGTTTTAAAGAAAAAACTGCTTCAGCTGCTTTCCATTACCAGTAGCCAAACAGAACAAGTCTCTCTTTGTGCACCTTCAGCAACTGAGGATATGGAAGACAACATCCTGTTGAGAAGCTGCTTTAAGGGCTAACTAGAGAATACAATTAACTCATAATTAGAAGGAGGAGTCATCTTGAGGAAGAAAAGAGTGTCTATTTATTCTAAGGAGAGCTTCCCCGAGTCTGCATTTGACAAATTAGTTGGCTTTTGTTTTGTAATTGGTTGTTTGGAATACAGATGGTTTTGCAGGTCTGATGTGTCAAGCGCATGGCACTGAAAATAACATTGTAAGAAGAGGAAACAATCATTTTCTTTAAACTGTGATCTGGCCCTTTGACTGTGTCAGACTGTTGGTCCATCTAGCTCAATCTTATTGATGTTGCCCAGAAATTGATTTCAGGGTTTCTTTCTTAGGTTATGACTACATAGCAGATAAAATAAAGATTGATCCACTGTGATTTGCACCCCTGGAAATTTGGTTTTAGCTGTCCAGAGAGGAGTCAGCAAAGAGGAGGAAATTCCCAACCAGTTCTTGTTTGTAACAAGCTATAGCCATTCCAGTTTGCAGGGATCAACGGGGAGGAGGCACTTGTACAGCAGAAGCTGCCTTAACAAGCTGCAAACAAGTACTGATTGGCAATTTCCTCCTCTCTCTCTTTCTTTTTTAAAAAATTGCTCTAGTGCAACTTTCAGCCAACACTGACATGAAGCCTTTTTAGAAAACAGAGAAAGGAAGGAAGTTTGGAGACAAAGGGTGCTTGGTTGAGGGGAACTGACACATTGTGAGTGTCCCTTCTCACTACCCTGCCACTCACCAGCACATGCCACCATTGCTTTTCTACATTGGCACAAGTGATCACGGCACCTAACCTGTGATGCAAATGCATTTGCTTCCATAAAAAGTAGAAGCCCCAGGAAAAAGGTACAGATTAGGAGGCGAAAGTTTGGGTTGATTCACATTGATTTGTACCTTGTGTAGCAAGTGAAAAATAATATGAATCTGACCATCCCAATCCCATAGCAGTTCCTTTACTATTTGTCAATGGGTCCAATACAAGTACAGTATGCTCTATCATTAACCAACAACCTTAGCTGTGCACCACTTTATTGCAAACTATAAACATCCACTCAAGTCTTCAGGAGATGGCAAAGAAGGGAGAAAGATTCTTTAGTCCAGCTTCTGGGTGAGATTTCTGTGTTAGAAAATAGATTTTTTTTAAAAGTACTTGTTGCAGGCCTGGTTGTCCTTTGGATTGTATAGACAACACACACACACACACACAAAAACATAACTGGAACTTGCAGAGCCAGCAGTCTTTTTGTTTTAGATTGTTTTGCTTTTGTAATGAATCAAACACCTAACCTGAAAACTGGCCAAATAGCTCAGTGAGTTGGGTATCTGGCTGCAGAGCCAGAGGTTGGGAATATGATTTTCCACTATCATTCCCCAAAAAAGGAGACAGCATTGATAGCCCTGGGCAAGCTGCCCAGTCCCAGAGCACCCCCAGAAGAAGGGAATGGTAAATTACTTCTGAGTATTCTCTACACATAAGAAACCTTAAAGGAGGTCACCACAAGTCAGAATTGACTTGAGGGCATGCAATCATAAGAGCAGGAAAAGCGAGACGTGTTTTCATGCATACCTGTTCATGACTTGCTGACTGCAACATCAAATAATAGGCTGGAGTGCCTCTTCTGCAGTGCTTTTTAATCCACCGCATTTTAGCTGCTAGTCGCTAAGTGTACAGTAGCCTAAGTGGTATACCAGTATGGGTGAAGCAGCCTGCAGGAAGTGCCAGCAAAGCAAATCGCAAGAGCATGTCCCCAGATGAGCTTTCTTGGACAGGAACTACTGCCCCTTTGAGAGCTTCGTACAGGGAAGAGGGAAGCAACCTTGTAAATGTTAATTCTGGCTCAGAGCTTTTAAAAGAACTGGTGTGGTGCAAAACTGAATTTAGAAACAATACATTCATTCACTTCTATGTCGGAAACAAAGTACTGTACAGTCAACAGCCAGTGGAGTGGAGTGCTTAGAATGGCACACCAGAGTGGGAGACACAGGATAAAATCCCTGCTCAGCCCCAAAACTAGTAAGGTGGCTTCAGGCTGGTTACTCTCACCATAGCCTACCTCATATGGATATCGTGAGATAAAATGAAGGGAGCCGTGTATGTCGCCTTGAGCACTCAGTGTTAATAAATTAATAAACATGTGCATAAAACACAGTGGGGAGGGGGGGAAAACAGGCTTCCACACGGAGAGACATTAAAACGGAAACACAGCATAATTCATGCCTTTAAAGAGGAGACATACAATTATGCTAGTCTGCATGCAAAATACCAGTTCAGCAAATTCCTAAATTCCATTAACAATAACTAGCTTAGCAAAACTCAAAGCAATATAAAAGGTCATTGAATTAAACATTCAGTTCTGAAGTTGCACATGGTACATTCGAGGATAAGGACCTTTTCCATGGGCAGCAGAATAGCCTTGTGCTAGATGAAAAATATTTCTTGTTCAGTCATCTTACTACATCATATTGTAATAATTTTCTTTTTCTTTTTTCTAAGCCTGGACTACAGTGGACCTTCGAGGGAGTTCTTTTTCCTGGTTTCAAGAGAGCTCTTCAATCCATATTATGGGTTATTTGAATATTCAGCCAACGATACGTATACTGTACAAATAAGTCCCATGTCTGCTTTTGTGGATAATCACCATGAATGGTAAGAATGAGGAGTCATAGTATGTTGTTTTTATGGCACCTCAGATGTGTCCCCCCATGGGAAGTAACTCCTCATTCTACTAGGAAACATCCATGTAGGGCCAAATACACAGAAGATATGGTTTAAGAGCCAAGTTCCCTGTGGGGTGTTTCATTACAATACAGTAGTTAGCTAATTCTAAGAAGCTAGCTCTGGATGGCAAATCAGAGTGAACCTCTCTACCATCCTCTAAATTTCAGTCTTCCAGTGGAAAAACAAGAAGCCCCATCAAACAAAATCCAGCATATCAGAATGCAAAAGGTACCAAAAAAATGGCCATAGCTAGTCTAGGTTTTTTATTTGTATTTTTTATCAAATCATCATCAGGTTACAGAACAGTACTAAAATTTACTCTCTATCATTCACAGTAAAAATGGTTGGTATGCTTCCTCCCCCCCCCCCCCCCCCCCCCGGTTTCTCTTGTGTTAAATGCCACTCTTGTTCCTCACAGTTCAGCAAAGCAAGTGGGTTTGTGGAATATTGGTTGGTTTTCACCAGCTCTGTGGGAATCCACGTTTCTAGTAGAAAGCAAACTGCCCGGTTTGTGAAGCATGAAATGCAGACTAACACCAAACACAGTCAGGACAGGCAGAAAGAGATTTCAGTTTTTACTGTATCTCACTGGTTTCATCTCATTCCATGAATGCAGATTAAAGGATGGGGGAAAGAAGTGATGACCCACTTTCTTAACAAGGAAGAATAGTGCAGCTCCCAAGGACTGTCTGTGCTGAGGAGTAAAGGGAGGAATTGTTTATTTAGGGCCAACTTAATAAGTGGCCTGACCTATCATACTTGCAAATTAAAACAAACCAGTATCACTATAAGCAACTGTTGGCTTGTTATAAAAACCTCGGAAATCCCATGCTGGCTGAAGGGTTGTGGTGGTGGTAGTTCAAAAATGTAACTTTCTCAAGTTCTGATCTAAATGTTCATTTAGAAATATTCACATGGCAATTTAAATGCTCCAAATTACTCCAAAGGCTAACTTCCTTGTGGTGTTATTTAAACGTATATGCCTTCTGTATAGCACCCAATTATGTCTAAGTGATGTTTACATGCAAAATTATGACCCTGGGAAGTAATTTAGTGTTAACTGAGTGTTATTATAGTTAGTTTATTGATAGAAGTTTTTAACCAACATAAACCTGATCTGATTTCTTCATTCCCTTTCAGGTTCAGATTTAGTGGTCGAATCCTTGGTCTTGCTCTCATACATCAGTATTTATTAGATGCATTCTTTACACGACCATTTTATAAAGCCCTCCTCAGAATGTGAGTATAGAAGTGTTTCAGAGGCCTTAGAAAACAGATCATATTGGTGTGTAAGTTGAAGGTTTCTTTCTCACTATATCTGTGACTGTGTGAAATAATGGTCTAATATTAAACCTAATGAAGGATAAGATCAGTTGCCAAGTATATTATAGGAATCGCTTATAATCAAAAGAAAAGTCTAAAGACATTGATTCTAGAGATAGACCTAGAACTCTGTTTACAGAACAGGGTTTCCCATCTTTTCCCTTCACATCCAATCAGTTCACCATCCAGTGTACTCAGAAGCCACTCCTGTGGGTTAGAGGGTGAGCCAGACTGCTGTGTAACATGGCTCAGGGGGCTGCAGCAAGACAGGCAAATCAGGAGGTTTTGTTTGTTTGTTTGTTTGTTTTAGGCAAATCAGGACGTTTTTATTTTTTTTTATTTTTTATTTTTGGACAACTGTAAGTGCTTTTCTGTTCACACAGGAGGCCTCTAGATCCAACCTCCTTTTTTGAGTATATTATTGCCATATTTTGTTCCTTTGCTAATTTTATTCCTTTGTTAATCTTATCTTTCATTTGTTAAAAGTGGTGGAATAAATTTGAGGCAAGGGAAGTGGTGGGAAACACAGATAAAACATCCTGTACTAGTTGGCAAGTCCTTTCTGCATATTGATAGGAATAATCACTACTTTCTTTCCAGCAGTAATTTCTGGTATGATTACATAGGCATTTAGCATGCTCTTTTGTCCGCTGCAGGGAATGGTGGTTTGCTCCTTTTCCCAGTGATACCTCAACATGATTGCTAGAGTGAAACAGGCCATCCCCAGAGTGTTCTTACCTGCACCTTTCTGGGTCCCTGTCAGAGGCTTCTTCTTTTTTGGTGCAGATAGGATTGCTCCATTTTGGCTTGTTTCTGGCATGTGTAATAACTAGAAAGAAAACAAACCCAGCTTTTGGTTGTCAAGGTTCCTCCTGATGTCAGTTTCCCATATTGTGAAGGAGCTTAAGAAGACAGCCACTTCACTCTATTGGCAAATTAAGCACTTCCTTTGCTCCACGGAGACACAGCGGAAGCTTGTTTGTTTGTTTTAGACTATTAGGGCAGCACTGATGCATTGCATCTCTTATAAAAAAATTAATTCTTCCCAGAATTGGGAGTAGACAGGAGGAAACAAAGAGAAGAATTTTTTTCCTTTGAGACTTGTCTTAAAGGTCAGGTCAAGATGGTTGGCAGAGAACTTGGCTGCAGGCTGGTTTTTGACCTGAACTGATGAAGAAAAGGGGGGAAATCCCCTCATTTCTCCCTCCTGTCTTCTTCCACTTCTGGGAGGAAGTTTTCTATTTTTAAAAAACTTGTACATGCTGTAGCGCATCAGCAATACAGTCTTTTTAAAAATAACTTCCTCTGCCCCTCTACAGAGCAGAGGAAGTGCTTAATTTGCAAATATAGTGAACTGGCTATCTATAGTGAACTGGCTATCACAGTGGTGGAAATTGACAGAAGAAGGAGCCAGCCCAAATAGAGTTGTTTGAAGTGTGTATGCCATTTGGATATGAGGATTGCATCACATGACATACCAGATCTCTGACTTGGCCTTTAGTGGCCCTATTTAGCCCACTCTAGCCTGCTCCAGTTAGCGTGTGTAGGCAAACCTTTAGTCAGATGTGAACAGTATTTTATTTTAAACTTTGATAACTGTAGAAAATGGCCCCTAACTGCTGTACTGTGCACATAGAATCAAACTGTGGAGATAGAATCAAAACAGGAAAACTGTCAGGCAGTACAAAGATGTACATAATTATAGTTTAGCAAAACAACTGAAAGTAGAAACAGATGAGTTATAGACAAGGTTGACATTAATGGTTTTATGATCGGTGTGATTACAGTGGTTCCAGTTGCTGATTGATATTGTTTGGGTGTTTGTAACAAATGAAGCTGCTGTTTTTATGCATGTAGATTCTTGACTTAAATCAGAATTGCTGCACAAATGTGAAACAGGCAAACAAAAAACTGAAATATGATTCACATATTTCTGTATTCCAAATGAAGTCATTACTTACTTACTTACTTAAGATCCCTATTTAAAATTTCAAAGTGGATCTTGGTATAAAAAAGGTTAAGTATTTTATGAATAATTGTATTTGCATTTTAGAAACTACAGCTCAAAAATGTAGCTGCCCTGGCTCTTTAGATTTCTCCCTTTCTTCTTCTTCTTCTTCTTTTTCTTCTTCTAAAATTTTCCTTCCTATCTTCCTTTCATTAGCATACTTTTTTGTTTTGTTTTTGTTTACATCAGATTGTGTGATCTGAGTGACCTGGAATACCTTGATGAGGAGTTCCACCAGAGTTTGCAGTGGATGAAAGACAACGATATACATGACATCCTAGATCTCACATTCACTGTCAATGAAGAAGTCTTTGGACAGGTGTGCCTCGTTTTTTTATCTGCAAAATGATCATAGAGAAGGCGATTTTTGTGATACTTACTTTTACTTTTCTTTCCTTGGATAACTATATATATATATATTTTGCAGAGCTTGAAAATGTCACTTTTTTGGACTACATGGCATGAATTCTGGGAATCGTAGTCCACAAATGTAATGTTTCCAGCCTCTGCTTCTTGGCTGAGTTTTGATAATGTCATGTTTTGTGCAAGTTTCTTACTCCCTTCCAATCAAATACCATTTCATGGTGATGTTCAAAAATGAAAGCCCTTAACCTGCCTAACATACCCCTCACGTTTTGAAAGAGAATATATGGAGCATTACAAGCCCCGTGAGAATCCTGGCTGTTTCAGCAGTGCTGTTTTGTGAATGTCACCTGGATGCTCGAGCCCCTCTGCACAGATTGCGCAGAGGCGGTTGCTCAGCTCCAAAAGTAGAGGGAATTTATTTAGAATGGTGTTCCTCCTCCAAATCAGTACTCATGGTATCACATTTAAAACGGGTTCCGTTTAGGAGCCTTTGAGAGAACCTGAGCAACTGAGATCTCTGGGAACTGAGTGAGTAACTTCCTGTGGTTTTCTGTGGGAAGGAACTGCTGGGTGCTGGACTTCCTCTCCTTCCCTGTACCAGAGCGGCTGCTTCCGAAGCTAGTTCACCTACTTAGCAAACAGTAGGGAGAGTTTTTCTAGAGTACTTGAGGCTGGACAAAGAACTCCCTTCCGATTAGCCTGAAGCCTGATTGACATGTTGTTTCTGCAGTGTTCCTGGCTCAAACGGGCAGGCGTGTCAGGGCTCTGTACCACAGCAGTGGACGATGGCACTGGCAATCATCTGAGTCGTCCACATCATGTGGCTGCTTCCCACACCAAAGCCAGTACCATTGATGGAGATGGAGCCCTTCCATGATCCTGGCGAGAACTGGTCACTGCGATACAGAGTTCTGACCACATGGAAACATGGCCTTGACACTCTGAAGCAGTGACTTTATGAAACCATCTGTTTTATACAGGCGTGTTAAGGGTGCCTTGTACATGAATCCCTGTTACCACATGCCAATTAGGAAGCTTCATTTAAGTAATCTCTAAAGCATGTAAACATTATCCTTAGCAAATGAGAGAGTACCATGATACATCACCATTCTTGGGGGCTTCTTGAAATGTGATTCTCCATTTTTTTATGTCAACATTGTAGGGGCGGGCGAGCTAGAGGGACAGAAATTATTTGAGGGAGGCACATACAGTATGGCTCTGGATCATATTTTGCCCCCACTCCCAGTAAATGTGGGGGTTTTCATTTCTCATTTTGGTACTTTCTTTCCTTATACTTGATACCTCTGGGGAGGGGAGGGGAGGGAAAGGAGGGAGGGAGAGATATTTCCACTTCTTTTAAGCTGCTCCAGTATCCTTTAAGTGGATTTTTTATGTTGAGTGAATTATTACAGCTTTGCAACAGAACCTCCTTTTGTGACATTTCAATGGTTGTTTGCCTCTAAGATCACTGAACGAGAACTAAAGCCTGGGGGTGCCAACATCCCTGTCACAGAAAAGAACAAGAAGGAATATATAGAGAGGATGGTGAAATGGCGGATTGAGAGGGGCGTTGTGCAGCAGACAGAGAGTCTCGTACGGGGTTTCTATGAGGTAAAAACAGCACCCTTTTCCTGTCTTTGATATAGTGTACAGTGTATTGTGCCCCCCAGCATATACGTACCGCTTAGCAGAATCATTATAAGCTGTGATTAATTCATGCCCTGCAACTGACTAAACTGTTCTGAGACATACTGTGTTGTCGTTGGTACTATTATAGGCAGAAGTCATCATTCATACCACTGAATCATGTAAAACGGGAAATGTAATGATTGCTAGTCATGGAAGTAACAATCAACAAGTAATGTACAAGTTGTGAACCAATAATTTAATCTGAGTGCAACATATACTGTATTTAGTGATGCCTGATCTTGAGTCACTGATCTTTCATGACAGATTTTGCTAAAGCAAGGAGCCATAGGAGCTTTCTAGCTTTCAGTCGTTCCTGGTACTAGCCAGGGTGTATTTGATTTAAATCAAATTGATTTAAATTTTAAAAAAATCATCAGTTGCGTCCCATGGGGCTCACAGTTTGCATTTTCGGTGCCAGAAATCTTTCTGGAGTTGTTGGTGGATCTGAGGAGGCTTGGAGAAGAATTCACAACCAAATGGGAGAGAAAACATTGCTTTGTTCAAAGGCAGTACATAAAATAAAAGTATTCTAAACCAGAGAGGACAATAGTTGGCAGAACCAGGAAGAAACAGTAGGGCATATTATATGTGTTGAGTATTTCTCTTCTTTCTTTCCTAGGTTGTAGATGCTAGGTTGGTATCTGTATTTGATGCAAGAGAACTGGAACTGGTTATTGCTGGCACGGCAGAAATTGACTTAAGTGACTGGAGAAACAACACTGAATACAGAGGAGGTGACACATTCTAAACTCTACACATGTATATGGGGAGTCACAATGGGAATTGAACCCGAATAAGTTTTTTTTAATTATTTGTTCTGTTTCGTGGGGTTGTTGGGTTATGTGTGTGTGTGGTTTTTTTTTTGAAAGAGCCCAGTAAATTATTCTAATTTAATTTTAGAAATCCATCCTTTTAAGTGTACTTTTAGAAAGAATGTGTTCACAGTTTAAGCTCCGTTACAGAAGGCATGGATTTTCCCACTTAACTCTTGCAATGGGGTGGGCATTTCATTTGAGAAAAGGGGTAAAATCCAAAGCAGCACAGCTGTAACAGGCAAGACCATGTAATTTAATCTGAGATATAAAGGTATGCTCCAGCTTAATTTAAGGCAGATGGTAAAGATGGCAAAAGTTAGAAGAGGTTAGGCTCTCCTGTGAAAGATGAGAAGCTTCCATCTCCAGAGGTTTTTCTGTGACAGCTATCTTTAAATTAATTAACATTTGGAGGTCATTCTTAGCTCTCTTGAAAATCGTTCAGAATATGTTTAGATAAACCAATTATATCAAATCCTAATTAAAGCTCATCTGAGATGATAAATGTCTACAGCTGAGCACTCAGATGCTGAGATACAGAAATGAAACATACATGAAGATACAGAAATATTCAATGGATTCACATGTATTAGTAAGTATAAATGCAATTGGGATTCAGGGAGTTACTATCAAAAAGCCCAAGGGCTTGTATGGGCACAGTGAGATTTTAATTAGTTTTATTAGAAAAGCAGATTGTTCTGTACCATTTTTTTTCTTTGCATTTCCCTCTCCTAATTGCAAAAGTGGTTTCTAACGTAGCATATCTTTATGCTTCTGAATCCAAACAGACTCATCTAAAATATCTTTGGCCACATATATCCTGGCCTATAGATACATGCACACAAACATATACACATATATCTCATAGATGTTTTCATTGTGTGCTCTATTTCCATAATTAATGTTTAAGTTTTTTTGCACCTCTTTCAATAATTTCCTGTTAATATACCTGGATACCTGTTGTTGTGTTTTATGCAGGTTAGTTAGTTATGTGCCATCAAATCAAAATTGACCTGCACTGATCCTTATAGGGCTGTCAAGGTACTGTCTGTGAGGTATTTAAGGAGTGGCTTTACCAGTTCCACTCCCCCAGTGAGTTTCCATGGCCAAGTGGGGGATTCAAACCCTGTTTTCCAGACTCCTAGCCCATTACTCTGTCCACTACACCAGACTGGGTGCCCATATGCAGGTACACGTACATAAATCTTCAGAAGGATTCTGGCCATTGGTACAGATTACCAGACATATACTCATATGTGACACTTATGTCTTATGTGTGACACCTACGTGTGTGACATTTACATTGTCTATGTTGCTTGGAGCTCATTTGTTCCCCTTCATCCACTTCCTCCTCCTTCTGTTGCTGCTACACACTATTTCTTCTTGTTCATTCCCATTTTCCATTGTTTTATTTTCATGCCATCTTTGCTTTTCTCCCCATTGTGATAAAAGTGACAGATCTTCATGACACAATCAGTTTCTTAGGACAAACACATATTTGCGTCCTCTCTTCAGTTCCATGGCCACACTGGAATCTGAAATATAAACAGAATATCAATATCCCAAAGTGGGGTTTGGTTATGGTAGGGAAGTTATCTGTTCTTTCTCATTTCAAAAGGGAAGAATTGTCACATATATCACTCCTTGGTTTTTAATCCTTCTGTTATGCTTCCTCTTCTGCCGTCTTCCTGGCTATGTAACACCTTTCTTTCACGAATTGTTTTAGGAATCTGATTTCCATTCCCCCTCTGCAAAGTTTCCTCTCAAAAGACAGGCCATTTATCATGTTTCTTATACGTCTCTGTCTTGTTGTTGGTCTTCACTCTTTATTTTCCAGTGGCACAAATGTATTCACTGAACATCTAGTTTTCCCCTGATTTATATTTGTGCTTTGTCTCATATCTGTACACATGGCCTGAAAGTTACGTGGGAGCCCAGTTCTTTGCGATTGAGCACTGCCAAGCATTTCCAGATTTTCTACCTCATTCTTCACAAGTTTGCCCTTCAGACAAGAGTGGTGCATACTTTTTAAACTAGGTGACTATACTCTTAGATGTAGGAGTAAAGTGTCAGTCCTGGGAGGAGTATGTATATTAACCCTTTCCACTCAGGAGAGGAATTAAGCAGGAACTTCTTTTTGTCTTTAGTGTGAGTGGCTTTCTGACCTAATTGTAGACTGTCTGCCATCTCATTAAATAAGGTTAGCCAAGTGCGGCTGTGATACAACAGTTGTATCTCAGCTCCCATCACCTGTTGCCAGCGTAAGGAGGGTGATGAATGCTGGGTGTTCCAGTCCAACAGCATGATGAAGGATGTATTCTACATACCTTGGCGCTAAAGAAACAGCAGAAAAGTGTGGTCTGTAGCTGCTTCTCTCTGTTCAGAAACAATAGAACAGTTGAATAAAATACCAATAATGACCAGTTTTGTGGGAAAAGTTAGACCAACATAAGGGCAAGAATCTAATCATAACTTCATGTTTCACTAATAATTAGTATTTCACATATCTTCTTGCCTAGCTCAGTATTTTCCAATAATATCTTAAATCTTACCAAATAGGGTATCATGACAACCATATTGTGATTCGATGGTTTTGGGCTGCAGTTGAAAGATTCAACAATGAACAGCGGCTGAGGCTACTACAGGTAAGTGATCAGGGTTGTGTGTAAAACATGTGTTGCTGTTTGATCTCCAGATGGCAGACTAACTCATTTAGACAGGCAGATACACACACAGATGTGTATAGTATGAACATGTATAGTTTCAACAAATGAACACTTTGAGAATTGGCTTCTCTCTCTAGATGAGAGCTTACTGTTGTAAGCTGAAGCAATGATTCAACAATGTATTGTCTGCTGGGTTCTGTTTTTAATGGTTGCGTTCCTGCAGAAGGAGCAAGTAGAGATGTGTGTATTGTTGCATTTCCTTTCCATATGACTCTCAGAGGTGGAGGCAATCTTTGTTCTTAATCTAGCTGGCTTGGCTTTGCCCTGGGAAGGTGAAGGCAGTTTCAGTCTCTCTTTCTCTCCAGCAAAACCTGCCCAACAGAGTTTCTGTGGTTACATCACATTTGTGCTCTGTTTAGCTAAGGATTCTAAAAGTGAACAAACATAAGTGAAGAAGTTTCATTTATCTTCTTATTTACCTCATTCTCCCACCTGGAATTTGTTTGTTTGTTTGTTTGTTTATTGCCCCATTAGTGCAGAGCACTTTTCTGAGTGGTATACATATAAAAACAATGATATAATATGTTCTGTTAGCTGGTCAGAGTAGTGGCTCTGCTACTAGTTGGGCACAATAGAAATGTAAATAAATAAATAAATAAATGGAGAAGGTTTGTTTAGAATTTAGAATACCAGGCACGTGAGTATAGTGACTGCTCAGTTTCTGCTAAAAACATATGATCCATCTTTTTCTCTGGCAGCAAACAAAATATAAAACGAGACAACAGAAAGCTGAAATAAGCCGGTGTTAAGCCCTGATGGCACAGCAGATTTGAGGACCAGTATAGTGGTGAGAAAAATTCAAGAGGGGCTGCCATTGAAGGCCTCTCGAAAGAGAAGCGTCTCCAGCAGCCTTCTAAAATTAGGAGGGAGCCAGGCATAGCTCCACTGGGAGGTGAATCCAAAGAGTAGGTGCCACTGGTGAGAAGGCCAGAATTTGTGTGAAAGATATTTTTTGCCTTCTTTAGTGTAGCCACCGAGAGGAGTATTGCCTGAGAGGATCTGGTGGTGCAGGAAAAGGACCTTGGGGAGAGACAGCCTAACAAGTAATATGGCCCCAAACCATGAAGGGCTTTGTAAATAAAAAACCTTGAACTTGGTCTGGAATACAACCATTGCAGGTGAGCCAGGGAAATACCAAATACACTTATACCTGCCACAAGCCTGGCAGCTGTATTCTGGACTGCTGCAATCTCCAGGTCAACCTCAAGGAAAGCCCCATATGGAGAGTGTTAGAGTAGTCCATCTTGGAGAGCACATGCATCAGTGTCCTAAGGTTTCTTTCACCAAATAGGGCATTGCTGGGTGATAAGCCTCCGGTGATTAAAAGCTGATCTGGACATGACTTTCACCTGAGAACCCCAGGAAAGAGCTGGGTCCAGGATAACTCCTAGATTCCAAAATCAGTCCCTAAGCAGAAGGTCTAGCCTATCAGAGGGACCTACCCTCCCCAGGGGAAGATTAGCTCCATTTTGTCTGGGTTCAGCTTGAGCCTGCTAGCTCTGCTCCATCCCAACACCAAAACCAGATCCTGCTCCAACATCTGGACAGCATTCACTGCAGAGGGGGAAAAGGAGACATAGAAGTGTGTATCAGCATACTGATGATACCATACCCCCAGTCTCTGGATGACCTCCCCCGGTGGCTTCACATAGGATGTTAAAAGAGCATTGGGGAGATTGACGTGCCCTGAGGAAGCCAATTATCAAGTTCAAAAGAGCTGATAGTTCTTCCTCAAGCTCACTCTGTAGATAACAGCCTCCAAGGAAGGACTGGAGCCAGTTTAATGCCCAACCCCTAATCCCCACCTCCGACAGCTTGTCCAGGAGGATACCATGTCAGATGGTATCAAAAGCCGCTGAGAGATGCAGGAGGACCAACAGGGTATGAGCTCCCCTCTCAGCTTCCCTTAAAAACTCACTGTATAGGACAGCCAATGCTATCTCAGTACCGTGGTGTGGCCTGAATGGAGACTGGAATGGATCAAGGCAGTGTTCCTCTTCAGGTGCAACTGGAGCTGCTCCACTACCACCTTCTCTATCACCTTGCCCATAAAAGGAATATTGGCCATTGGCAAAGGAAGAGAGGGGAACAGGAAGGACATCAGCTGTAGCAACAAATTGATGCTAGGTGAAGGCCTCCTTTGTTGACGTTGGGGTGTCCGGGAGTTTGCCACATTGTGTATGAGTTGTATGCTCCCTGAAATCATCAAAGGGAGATTTTAGTCAGCAACAATTTGCTGCTGCTGGAGTCATTCCCATTGCACATGCAAAGCTGCACAGCAGGATTTTAACTGTATGTAATGGATGGAAGTATTTTTGCCTTTCTGACTCTTTCATTCTCAAATCAAATTGAGATGCGTAGGCAAATATTGCAGCATGGCTTGTGTGATGCCTTGGATTTTGTGGGGACATTTCACATAGAAATGTAGCTGTGTATTTATTTGTTACATTTACGTCCTTTTCCTTCAAGAAGGTTAATACGATGTACAGTTTTCCTCAATTTTCTTTTTTAAAAAACACCAAAATCCTAAGTAAAGGTCAATAGGCCTTTACTAATGCTTCTTCTTGGAGCTGTAATTTTATGTAAAAAATGAAAGCAGATCTAATTTGCTACTAAATACCCAGTAAGACTCTTGAGTTAGCTCTTCCATACAAACTCCTGTGAAGAAACAAAGACACGGGTGTAATAGAACAAACAAAGAAACAGATACATGCTTAAGTGTAAAGCAGGAAAGTTTTAGCTGTTTGTCCCTGTATGTTCCATTGAGTTCAGTACATGTACAGAAGACTGTAGCTTCACCTCTATTGGATTACCTATTAAAACACACTTGATTTACTTCCTAGAAATTGTCTTCAGTTCCTATCTCTTTCAGTTGCTGTCTGTGGACAGAATATTGATGTGCAGATGGGTGTAAAGGTAATGCAGAATTTAGTTTTCACGGATTCTGCTGTGAGTCACAGATAGGAACTAACTCACATTTTGAAGAATGTCATGTAAGGAGAAGTCCCAAGTGTACATCAGATCAAACTTCTATGTTACTATGATGCTCATTATGGTGTTTTGCTCTGGGTTGTTCAGTTTGTTACAGGCACATCTAGTATACCATATGAAGGTTTTGCTTCCCTGAGAGGGAGCAATGGACCAAGAAGATTCTGTGTGGAAAAGTGGGGGAAAATCACTGCTCTGCCAAGGTAAAGTATTACTGGCTGCCTTAACATAATCTATTAGCCATTTAAGAATTCACAGAATTCTTGACACCTTTCCTGTTAATCCAAGTTAGCTCTGTCTCCAAGTTTTGAAACTATATGAGCACCTCTTTAAAACCTGAGGGTGATATACAGTGTCATATGAATAGAAATCAAATTTGTACAATGAGACTTTGTTCTGCTCACCTCTGAAAAGCTGCGTCAGAGGGGTCTCCCAGAAATAAGAGGACAGATTTTAAGAGCAGATTCCCTGTTGTTGTTGTTTTTATTTAATGTATTAAATGTTGAAACAGTAAGTTATATTTAGGAGAACAACCAGTTGTGTCAACATTCTGCCTCTTTCTTTCTTTGGCTTCTTCTATATTGGGTTAGAGACCAAATCTAGTACTGTCTTCCTCCATAGTTGACCAATAACCCTGGTGAAATGTCTTGGCCAGCAGTGAAAACCTAAAGAAATAGAAAAATTAAAGGCTGGCATTGCCAAGAGATCCTGTCTTTGGTTGCTAGAGCCTTTTGTTCTGCGCTGCAGATTAATGTATCCATGAAGAGAAAGAGGCAGTGAGCTTAGTTCTCATAAAATTTTGTTCATGCCCCCCAGTTACACTAGTAACAGGCAATCATTGGCCATGTACAAACATCATTTTGATAATGGAAATGTGAGTCAGCTTCCTTGGTTGGGGTCAAATACATTACATCCCCTCAAGAACCCAGTGCATGCCACGACCTCCCCTTGCTGCTTTTCTCAAAAAATGGCAATCAGACTGCCATGATTTCATTGTGCCATGTGGCATATGGGTGCATGGACTTTTCCCCAGGAAGACTGCTTTCTTGGCTGATTCTGCTGGGGAGCAAGGTGTGCATTCTGTCTCTTAGCAGAATCATGGGGGTCTTTGTGGTGGTAGCAGCTGCAGAAACAAGGATCAAGAACTGCACACTTCAGCAGACCAAGGTTCATTAGCACAGGCTCTGGCAGGTGTACCTCTAGCATGGCCACAAGTGTTTGAAAGCTTTTCCTTCTGTTTCTGCTTAACTATGATTTTCTCTGTTTTCCAAGACTGGCAAATGGTGCTGAACATTATGGATGCTTTGTTTGAATAAGCCAGTCTGAATTCCCAATGGTGATGTGGACATAACAGTATTGTGTGAATAAATGAGATAGCAGAACTGAACCTATATGCAGTGTAGCTTATAAAATAAATAATTTTAACATATTCCTTCATTATATGAAAGTTTATCAAGAAGCAAATCTGTTTTGAAGTCTGACTTCCCTTGCTTTGGTGATACTGGGTCACCACCTTAGCGTGATTTACAGATATTTACAAACATGGGAGACTTGGTTTAAACAAAACATGAGAGAACAACCTCTGCTCTGCCACAGAACGTTAGGAAATGGTGCCTTGATCCCTCTTAGCGAAGTGACCATCTCAACCTTGGCTCCAAGCAGAATGAAACTAGTTTGTTTTCTTAAGTTCCCTAGCTCCACTCTGCAGAGCTTCTTCAGCCCTGGGCTGCACCAGCTTCAAAGGCTTTCCTGTGGAAACCCTGCGGAATGTTGGCTGGGCTCGTCCATATTTAAGAGGCAAGGGGTGTCAGCGGCCTCTTCAAAGAGACCCTCTGGACCTTGTCACTGTACGGCTGGAAGCTGCCTTGAAATTTTGACCTGAACGCTCTCATGGTACCAATCCTCTCAGATGACAAATACATTCTCAAGATGGGGCCCTCCGAAGAGTATAAGGATTATACTTGTCCTTGTAGGTTCTCCGAAATGAATTAGGGTCACGTTTGTTGTGATGAAATCAGCCATATTTGTTCCAAACCGAACTGCAGGAGCCTGGTTTCCATGTCTTGAAGGGGTGTGTAGATGAAGGGAACTTGCTCCCCATCCCTTCCTATTCTTTCGGTCTCTTTAAACAGAGAGAACAGTCCATTTCACTTTGCACTGCAGCCAGGCTGGAGCAGCACGCATGGGGCAATGAGTGAGAGGGGCTTTCCTCATCCACATGCACCTTCTTTGTTGTAAACGTAGATGCCCGCCCCTGATGCAGATGAGTATTGTTGTTGTTTAGTCATTTAGTCGTGTCCGACTCTTCGTGACCCCATGGACCAGAGCACACCAGGCCCTCCTATCTTCCACTGCCTACCGGAGTTGAGTCAAATTCATGTTGGTCGCTTTGATGACACTGTCCAACTATCTCGTCCTCTGTCATCCCCTTCGCCTCTTGCCCTCACACTTTTCGAACATCAGGGTCTTTTCCAGGGAGTCTTCTGTTCTCATGAGACGGCCAAAGGATTGGAGCCTCAGCTTCAGGATCTGTCCTTCCAGTGAGCACTTAGGGTTGATTTCCTTTAGAATGGATAGGTTTGTTCTCTTTGCAGTCCAGGGAACTCTCAAGAGTCTCCTCCAGCACCACAATTCAAAAGCATCAGTTCTTCGGCAGTCAGCTTTCTTTATGGTCCAGCTCTCACTTCCATACATCACTACAGGAAAAACCATAGCTTTGACTATTCAGACTTTTGTTGGCAAGGTAATGTCTCTGCTTTTTAAGATGCTGTCGAGGTTTGTCATTGCTTTCCTCCCAAGAAGCAGGC